ATAATTCTAGGTGCAGGTCAGGCCAGGCTGTGTTCACATAGATATAAGGCTAAGCGACCCTTGGTCCCATTATTCTAGGTGCAGGTCAGGCCAGGCTGTGTTCACGTAGATATAAGGTCAAGCGGCCCTTGGTCTCATTATTCTAGGTGCAGGTCAGGCCAGGCTGTGTTCACATAGATATAAGGCTCCGCAGCAGCACACATATGGGGCCGTGGTGGCTGTGATCTGGGCCTATCTTGCCCTTTCTATACCCACGAGTCAGCCGATTAACTACAGTCGATCGTACCCCCATCTCTCACTGTAGGGCATACAGTACCAGGCGTTCATCCCGGCCCTGTCCCGAAATCCGAGGTGCGGTTGAGGTTCGGTTGGGTGCTGGTCCTCTTAAACACTAGTTTCGGGGGCAGGGCACAGATGCGCCTGGGTGGCTGTGACCTGGGCCTGTCCCGTGCCGACCCCTCACCCGGTACAGCAGACAGGTGTGTAGCGCTGCGGCTGGCGACAGTGTACGTTAAACCAGACTTGTGACTCTGTGTACGTGTGTGCGTATACCTATCGGTGGCTGGCCGGTGCTTGTCTGGGCTGTCATCGCCCGAGGTAGCTGATGGACTGCTATGTGTGTGTGCGTGTGGTGGTTGAGACGCGGGGGTGTCGGGGTGTGTGCACTCGGTGGTGTCCAGGCAGCGTGTGGGAAGTTCGGTACTTTCGCACCGCTCTCGGGACAGTCTGTCGGGTGCCATGTCTGATTTGGTGCGGCCAATGCCCTTCAGCTGTAAGGTATGGAGCACTACAAGCGCAGGTAGGCGCAGAGGAGAGTTTGTGGGTGGGAGATTCAATTAGACCAGCTGAAGTGGGTGTGATTATATGTATATATTACAAGGATGTATGGGTAGGGTGGGTGGGAGTGAAGGAATGTACAGCACTGAGTTGTAGATATATGTTATAAAGATGTAAGAGCTTGGGTTGACCAACTGGCCTAGCTGTAGATATATATTACAGAGATGTATGGGTAGGGTAGGAGAGAGTGCAGGAAATAATATATATATATATATATATATATATATATATAATAACTATATATATATATATAATAATATATATATATATATATATACTACACATATAT